TTACACTTTGGTTGGTTTCCAATCGTACCAAAGTACAACTACAGTGTACCCTTTTACACTTTATACTACTCCCTCGGATAAGCTGCAAGTAGGATTAGCTTTAGGTATAGAAGGGAGTATCGGATGATCCTACTTGTGGCTCATCCGATACCCCTTCTATACTTAAAGCTAATCCTACTTACAGCTTATCCGAGGGAGTAGTATAAAGTATAAAAGGGTACACTGTGGTTGTACGTTGCAACGCGTTGGTACGATTGGAAACCAACCACAGTGTACCCTTTTACACTTTATACTACTCCATCGGATAAGCTGCAAGTAGGATTAGCTTTAAGTATAGAAGGGGTATCGGATGAGCCACAAGTAGGATCATTCCTAGGTGTAGAACGGGCATTAGGAGCCTATCTCCTAACACAGAGGACTTTCCTCTATACAGAGTGAATCAGAGTGGTTGCAACCTTTTACCATAGGAAGTGGATTACCGTCCTATGGTACAGTCCTATGGTAAAAGGTTGGTACAATCACTTTGATTTACCTTGTATAATTTTCAAGAAAAACTTTAAAAGGAAATTCTCTCTGTGTAGGATTTGTAAAATGAACGATATTCATATTTAAATGACAAATTATTACATCACGTTCTGCATGTGATCATTACAGTTGTCCGAAAAACTTGTGATGTATGATGAACAGGCGATAGCATTAGGGCATCAGAGAAAAGACAAACATATATTCACATATTTGTTCTTCATATATACATTCGTTACAACAAATTGGATGACTTATTACAAAATCAGGAATATGTCGGAAGGAATGGTGGGGATAGTAAGTGTGTTGCGATATACAGTTTCTACTATCAGCGGCACTTATTGCGTCTTAATAACGTGCCTATTTCTGGATCTGATACGTCAACGTTTTCGACACTTGAACGAGACGGTAATCCCTTACGTTTCGGAGTTACCGGTAACCCGATCGCAGGGTGAAATCACGGTGTACAACGTACGCCATTTGCATAAGGTGCTTCTCAATAGTGCCGAGCTAATAAACGCATTATACGGGATAGGCACTTTGCTCACCTTCCTGTCCATTTTGTTGGAATTGGTTTGGACCACATATGCATTCATAAAAAATTGGCAGGAAATTAAATATATACAAGACTTGGCAACGCCGCTGAACTTATTGTTTCAAACTATTTACTTAGTCGCAATGTATCACTTTACGACCTACGAGGTAAAAACCGACAATTTTATCGTAATGTCGTTCGAAAACACTTTTTATCTAATTGTTGGACTATTCAATGTCTTTTTTTAATACAGACGAATAAATTCTTTAATACAGACTAATCTAAACTGTCCAAACTCTCGTCTTCTAGGCGAATCGAGTCGAAGAGCGCGTGATAAAGTATGGCTTATCGTTTTCGAGCAAGAAATGCCACATGGTAAGTTTTACATTATCCCGGCGGATTGTAGGTAATAATTTAATAAACGCGACTGGTTGCAGGACAACATTGAAATGATGTTATATTTTTATCACAGAAGATATTTTTTCACAGCCGCGCAATTCTTTCAACTGGATATGACGATATTTATTCCGGTAAGACAAGTTTATCCTCTATACCATTACTACAAAATTAATTCTCTGGTTAATAACAATTTAATCTTATTAATGGCTCCTGTATTATACAAAAAATTAGAAAGAAAGACGTTTAAAGGGACGCAGTTAGGTTTTACTCGCTAAGTCCATTCAAATTATTCAAGTGGTTACATATCGGCCACAATTATATCACCTTCAGGTTCTCCTAAAGAGAACAAAAGTTTTTTTTAAGACAAACATAAAACTGCAAATGTAGCAAATTCAAAACTCATATGTATATACTTGATATGTATATAATTGAGACAGATGATTGTTAAAAATAATAATTCTGAGCATATCTTTCGTCCAAGTGCATCGAATGTGCTCAAACTTTAACTTTTAGAGTAGACACCTAATAAAATGCATCTGACATGTGAAGGGTAATGAAATTTGACAAAGTACACCATGATTTTCGTATTTTTCATTCGTGCACTTTAAAACTGGTTATGCTCAAAAACTTAAAGGTGATATAATTTTAGTCGGTACTGTACGTTTCGACGCATTAATTCCGATCACCATCGGTGTATGATTCATGACAATTTTATTCACGATTATAAATACTCAGAGTCATTTTTTTAAACCATGTACATTTTACTTCCGTACTTTTACTTCATACGCTCGTTGTTTTCTAAATTTTATTACGTTTCAGATCGTTGCTATGGTACTGACGTACACAACTCTAGTAGTACAAGTCACGTGAGAAAAATTCAGAAAAATAATATCGAAAAAGGCAATACAAATATTGCGACAAATAATCTACAGGGTGCTACGCAACATATTGAAGACCGGTCATGGGAAGGTAGAGGGGACTAAGCCAAACAGAAAAGTCCTGTGCTATTTTGCGCTTGGACGAATAGTTATCGAGATACTGAATTTTAAAAATCGACGTATTAGCCCAACCTACTGGTGAATGTAAGCGCGCGCTAGTTATTACGAGAGAGAACCACGAAAGAACCGATGTCCGTTTTGTATGATATTAACCTTGTGTCGTTAACCACGATGTTAGACTTCTATACGAGTCCTTAGTCCGAAAAATAGTGTAGCCAATCAAGCAAATATATTAAACGAAAAATCTGAGGGCCTGTCAAATCGCGTACTCGCGTACTCGCGTAAACTACACCCGTCGGTCTTGCGCGCTAAGTCGGTAACGTCGGTAACGTCAGTCACGTCAGCCGCGCTTGCGAGCGCCACGTGCGGCAGAAATATAAAATGGAATTTTGGTGGTTGACGACGACGACCACGTTTCTTAATTCTTGACGTGAAATTCACAACCGCGGACTTTGCATTGCAATATCTCCACTCATGGGGCACGTAGGAGAAAAGTAAAAACACTTTTATTATGCAAATCGTATCCAAGCTATCGATTAAGCGCAGTCTCAAGTTCGTCGGATCAGCCGTTGTTAAGATCCGATAATCTGAGGGCCCGTCAACTCGCGCACTCGCGTAAACTACACGGTCGGTGTCGCGCGCGTGGTTTAGCTTGTCACTTTAAAACTTTTCGCTTATACTTGGCGCGAGACACTACCGTGTCTCGTGATATTTGATATGAAATTAGATATCATATCTCAGATGAAATTATCATCAGATGAAATTATCATGGCTTTTTAGAATCTGGAAGACGTCTCTCAGATATCCGAGTGATATCTGAATAGTTTTTCGTCAATCAGATATTGTGATATTTAAATATCTTCCAGATATCTCTATGATATTTTTTGCTGTGTGGGTACTAATTAATATGACCCAGTGAGAAATGATTCGTCGATCGACGTCGAAATGATGTCGAAGCGACGTCAATTCGATGGTATCGATGTCGATTCGACGACGTTATAAATCTGTTATAAATCCTACGATATACGAGAATATTTGACAGTTGCCGCGATATGACAAGATATGTTCTGATTGGCTGGTCGCTTCGACGCAGGACGCGAAAGTTGAAATTCGCCCAACTTCTGTGCGTCCTGCGTATTGAAGCCTGTGGCTTGTTGCGGCCGGAAATTCGTCACGCTGCGTCTAATCTTGCGACTTGCGACCCGCGTCCTGCGTCTTATGTAGATAGACCTTAAGGTCTATCTACATAAGACGCAGGACGCGGGTCGTAAGTCGCAGAACGCGGAACGCAAGTCGCAGGTCGTAAGACTTTTGCGTCTATATAGTCCACATAGATAGTAGATACGCAGCGAGCTCTCTGCGTCAAAAGAAAAATGAATAAAATGTCAATCAGAACATAAATGTCATAACTTCTCTTAATTTTTTTTAACTTTATAAATTAAATCCCGCGTTACCGCGGAATCCCAATTATATACCATTTTTTTAAAAAAACTTAATTTCTCACCTCGACGAGATCCTACGATATACGAGAATATTTGACAGTTGCCGCGATATGATAAGATATGTTCTGACTGGCTGGTCGCTTCGACGCAGGACGCGAAAGTTAAAATTCGACCAACTTCTGTGCGTCCTGCGTATTGAAGCCTGCGGCTTGTTGCGGCCGGAAATACGTCACGTTGCGTCTAATCTTGCCACTTGCGACCCGCGTCCTGCGTCTTATGTATTGTAGATAGACCTTTAACTAGCATGGCCCGCGACTTTGACTGCGACCTGTGAACTTTTCCCTATCAATTCATTGTCAATAGTTCAATCCTATTTTAACATGTATGTTATTTATGGATTTATTAAATATGTATTAGGAGATTCAGAAAATCAAGAGCATAAACAGCTATGACATGAGATATTTTGAAGGTCCGACATATTTCAATGAAATTCAGTAAACAGACGTAATTCTTTGTGTACAAAATTATAAATTTTTAATCGAAATAGAAATGAATTGCAACAAGTTGTTTCTCCAATATGTACTTCTTCATTATTTTAATTTACAAAAAGTGCAGTTGAAGCTCATCGATTACTTGCGGAAACTTATGGTGACTCGATTCCATCAGAGAGAACATGTAGAAAGTGTCACAATCACCTTTTTTGAACGATTCAAAAAAGGTGATTGTGACATGAATGATAAAGACCGATCGGGTCACCCAGTAGAAGGGCGCATATTATGAGCTGTTGAATTCGAATGAAACAGTCAATGCCAAACGTTATCGTGATCAATTAGAGCATTTCAATGCCAGATTGATACAAAAACGGTTATCTACTGGATCAAATCGCCGAAAAGTGATTTTTCTCCATGATAATGGTCGCCCTCATGTTGCTTTAGCTGGCTAGCTTGGACCCGTCCGATCATCATCTATTCCGCTGAGTGCAAAACGATCTGGAGGATACACACTTAGCAAACTACGAAGAAGTCAAAAAATGGATTGCTGAATGCAGGATCAACTAAAAAAACAAGCCGTTCTATCGACGCGGAATCCAACTTTTGTCAGACAGATGGGAAAAGGTCATGCCTTCCGGGGGAAAATACTTTGATCGATAAATTCAATCATTTTTTTATTGAAATAAATGCGTATTTTAACGGCGAAAACTTTCCGAACCATCTAGTATATACGACACATGATATTAAATGAATGTTATACTAAAAATATTTATAACTAGCATGTCCCGTGACTTTATTCGTGACCACACATGCATGACTGTCACACGTACGTGTCTTTGCCTATTTTTAATCTTCCATTTCAACATTTTAAACCTATTTTTCAGAATTAGAGCATTTTTGCATATGTATTGCAATACATTGAAATTAAATATTTTTAAAAAATAAGTTTAAGTAAACTATCTTATATTACATATTATTATGGGAAAGAATATATAGAATATTATTAGTTATATATTATTTTTATGAAACTAACATTCCCAAATAGCACAAGGACGTCCTCAGAACGTCCTTAAACCTCTCGATAAATCAGTATCGACACTTCTGGAGTCCTATTGTGAATAATTTCTGCCATGACATGATATCGCAACTTACAATCTCGTGATCAAGCAATGTCAACCACTTCAAGCTTTTTAATATTAGAACTTAGAAAGTTCAATTAGTGAAGATATATGTATAAATTGTAAGACTTACATTTCAATAGTCATTTGAGGCGGTGTCTTCATACAGAGTGGTTTTTCATTTAAGTAGCAGAATTATTTTTCTTAGCCGAACTCGCACGATATTACAGTGATACTACCAATATCAAGATCAGGTACAGTTAACAGTACAAGTAAAAAAGTAGGTATATAAAATACTTATACAATACTATTCTCTAGATTATCCGAGAAAATAATCGAAACCATGGATGATAAAGAATCTTGTAATTCGTGGAACGGTATAGACTCCGGCGAGAAGATTGTTATTTCTGGTATATCTGGAAGATTTCCGGATTCAGATAATATGAATCAGTTACAAAAAAATTTATTTAATAAACGTGAACTTATTAGAGCAGGCGATGGCGGACAGGTGAATAATTTGTATGCACTACAGTTCTGCAACCATGCCTGATTGACGAATGAAAGATATGTCAGAATTAGACAAAAATCTAATCTAATTAACAATTATGAATTACAATTACAATATAATTTTTAATGCAATTAATATATTTTTAATCGTTATTGGTTGCAAACAATTAAATGAGATAATCGCGAAAAATAATTGTTTACGTTAAAATGGCTAGACTAATTAATTCATTATAGAAATACTACTGTTTGTTTAGTTTGTTCAGATAAATTAATGTTTTAACAATCAACAGTATATCTTCTAGATTTTAAGTGTTTTTATTAATGAAGGACTCTTTACATTTTTATTATTATTTAAAAACAATTTTTTAGGACTTATACAATAATGTACAATATATATTTCTTTTCGCCAAGTTTTTTAATAACCAATAATGTCTTGAATCAAGACCGATATGTATCCAACAATTAAGTTAGAAAAGGCTATCTTTTAATAAAATATTTATTTGTATTGAATTTGTTTGCATTATATCTTTATTAAATAAGTATTAAAAATTTATCTCGTTATATTATTATTCCTTTATTTCTTTCGATAAAATTTTATGTTCGATTGTTTTGATATAACATTTCAAGAATTCTATTAGAAGTTACAAAAATTCAAGCAGCATATATGTACATATAAAATTATTTTTCAACTCAACAAACTTATTTTTATATCATAAAAAGGTCTGAATAGTTGCAATATAATTGTGAAAAGTACCCAAGGAGCGCCAATGCGCGTATAACGTGCGTTTAATGCGCATTTGACTGCATTGGCTTCTAAACTGCATTCATTGTGTGTTCAAAATGCGCGTATTCAAATGCGTAATTAATGCAAATTGTATGTACACCTCGAAATTTTCTACAACCAATGGCGAACGCAAATCGCTAGGTCAACATTCATAACTGATTCTTATATTTAAGACCGTCTTAAATATAATCTTGAGTTCGAAAGCTATTGATTTTGTGATAATTATAATTAATTACATATATGTATTAGCATAGTTTTTTAAGTTTAATAGTTTCAACTAAAAGTTCCTAAATGATGAAAAAGAGTAAATATCCTTTTTTCTACCTTGGTAGTAGAAATTAGGGTAAACCTTCGGAAAACCCACGCATATGAAATAAGGGATAACAACACTCAATTTCTATGTATTTTTGTGTTCTGAACATGAATATATAACTTAGACATGGCGGTCGGAACAAGAAACCAATGAAAACCATGAAAAACCCATAAAAATTATGGTTTTTAACATTTATCTCACCAAATATCAAAAATTTTGAAAAATGTTTTAAATAAAAGTTGTAGATCTCTTCGAAGTATGCATTTTATATCCTATTCATTTTTACTGTACGAGTGATAGTTTTCGAGAAAAATGATGGAGTCTAAATCTTGTATCTTTTTAACGAATCAGTTGCAAGTGTCTTTAGCACGGCGCGCTGCGCGCGCCCCACCCCCTCCCGCCCCTCCCCCTCCCCCTCCCCCTTCCCAGCCCTCCGTTTTGTGTATAATTTTTATGT